TGCTGATACCATTCCGCTGCGCATTCAACCGTCGCTTACCTACAAGCGTATATGGCGACATGGACATTTCCGCCTGCACATTGCTTACCTCACCAAACCTTCATCGTACTAAATCACATTGGCAGCGACACACAGACAAGCGCACCTGAAGATTGTATTTCAGCCTGTCTAAGACACGGGCACTCCCTGCCCTACCTTTAAACCAACAAATACACCCCCACCGTAACTGAACGAGATCCGGGTTATTATACCTGGTCTCTCACACATCGCCGCAACGTCCCCCATCACGTCGCACGACAGCTTCGACGTAAGCCTCGACATGGCTGACGATCACCCCGACCTCTCGGCGCTTCAGTCGCCAGTCGCTTCGCCCACCATTAAGCGCAAGCGAAGCATTTCTGAGCAGGAAAGCCCCGGGCGTGCCAAGAAAACCGCCACCACCAATGCCCCTTCAGCCATCATGTCGGCTGCCGATGCCGACACGGCTGCCTTCATTGAGCATGCTGTCGAGGCCGCGGCCGCGGCCGTTGCTAATGGCGTAAACGTGGCCGACCTGAATGCTCTTCAACAGGCCACCGCCGCTGAGCATTCAGAAGCTGCTGACCCTGCCAACGCCTCGAGCACTGCCGCCGCCGCTCTCGGCTCCATGTATCCCAGCATTCACGTACCTCAGACCACCGAGGCCCAGTTCGCCTCGCAAGGCGTCAATGACGGCAATCATGTCCCTGACTCGGCCTTCGACCCCAACATGACCCAGCATGATACCCTAATCGATAATGCTCTGGCCGGCCTGCCATCGTCGGGGAGTCCTCATGATCTGTCGCCTCCAAACGATCAGCAGCAACAATTGGGTCACGATCAACATCAGCAGATGCCGCAGCATGATCAACACCAGCACGATCCTCATCAGCATGATCAGCACCAGCAGCATCATCTCGACCAACACCCGCACATGGACCCGCAGCATCAACAGCACCAGCACCTCGAGCAGCACCAGCAACAACAACAGCAGCATGAGCAACCGCCACCTCAACCGCAGCCCGCCCAGCACCGGTACTCGACCGGCTCTGCAGGCGCCCCTCCCAAGTCGAAGCCCGATGTTGGGTCTGACGAGTGGCACAAGCAGCGCAAGGACAATCACAAAGAGGGTAAGTCTATTTGTTTTCCAGGCCGGCTTACATGGATCATCATGTTC